GGTCATAATTTATTCCATTGGCCAATGGAATAAATTATGACCATGGAATATTACTGTTTAAGCCTTTTTATTATATCCTTACTCTGTCCTGGACATTGAGTTCTACCTGGATTCTATCCTCTTGGAAGTTTTTTTATGCTTATATATATATATATATATATATATATATATATTTACCACTGATATTATCTATCTATCTATATATATATATATATATATATATATATAGCCTATATTTTTTTCCCAATCATACACATAATATATATGTATAAACAAGATTTGGCATTATATAACCCTCAGGGCTGATGTGCCATAAAACCTAAACAACCAACCAATCAATTCTTCCTCTACCAAATATCTTAATAAATTCCGTATCATTCTTGTGTGATAGGAACTAAATAATTTGAGTGCAAACTTGTCAAAATATTATCCCAAAACCACCTGCCCAAGCAGTTATCTCCATTGTCAACCTTGACAATAATCATTTGTGTTTTTCTATGTGTAGAAATACTAGTATTTCTATATTTTATATAGTATTATTTATTAAGTTTGGAGAAGAATACAGTCCTTTTAGATAAGATCATGCCAGCTGACCACTTTTCACCACTTGCCCTCTCTACCCACATTTGGTACTTTTAAGATCTGAAGAAAACTTCAGGTGTTATTGGTGGAAACCTCAATAATGTGAGTGCCAAGTTACAAAAGGATAATTCTTGTTATGCAGACAGCAAAACCTTGAAAACAAGATGCCTGTTTTATTGATATAAAACACTGTCTTTATTTCACAATATCTTAAAACTCCTTACCTTTTCCAATTCAAAGGCTATGTGACATCCTATATCAGTTGGTCAATCAATTTTCAACTAAATTCTCTATGAACTAAGAACCTAGTAGTGAAGAATAGTAGGCATGTGACAAGATAAGATATATCTGTTTCAAAGAAGACCAACTAATATCATGTGACAGGTTCAGAAGTACTTTTACCTGCAAAGAGTATTTTCATAATCTAAGGCCCATGTGTTTGATGAAAAATAGGTAGGAACCCATAATTAATCACCTGTCAACATTTTCATGTCTTGCTGCCTTGGACCTACCAATTTCAAATTAGTTGTTTACAAAAACCACTATGGTTTTGAATTTCAAATTCCTATTCTCAACTTGTGTTCCTTTTCAAATCTGAATGAAAAAAGTTTCTTACACATTGCCAGGAAAAAAAGAATACATTTAAGTAATAAATGAAATTAACCTGTGCTCTGACTTAATAAAATACTCAGTGTAATTATCACTTACTTATAAAGTCCATGTACCTCATAGTGTCATTTTTATAACTCTTTTCTTTTGCACACGTTTTATCATTACTGTAAAGAGGTTAGGTCTCTAATTTTTGTTGTTTGTAAATTAACATTCAGAATTTGGGATACTCTTTTATGAGCTTATATATGGATTTGATTTCATAATAGTCATAAATAGAATAAGTTGATAATCAAAATAGTAGTAACAACTAAAAGTCTGCATTTGTGGGTGTCAAAATTAAGTGTGAAAATACAACTAGTAGTGTACTAACAGTAGAAAGTGACACAAATTTGAAGGCACATAGAAATAGCAAAAATTCTACAGAAACTTAACAAGGTGCTAAAGGATTGAAAAATAACATTAGAAATGAAGTTCCTTCTATATAGCGATGATTTCAGGACAATTTCATCATAAATGAAAAAAGAAAAGACTGGTTGTAACAATGAATATTGAGAAGGCATGGGAAGAACATTTGAAAAATGAAGTTCTAAGAAATTGTTGATAATCAGAAAGAAACAGTTTTTTGGAAAGATGACTTAGAAAAAGGCAAGGGAAATGGAGAAAAAATAGTAACATACTTGACGAGTTTGCTAATAGATGGAGGAAGAAGAACTATGAAGAAAAAAAAAACAGTTGAAAGTACTGTTGAGAGCAAAATGCAGAAAACTATAATCACACATGACCTGATGAGAACAACTCCAATTGACCAAGTTCATGATAAAAGAAAATAATTGATTTTGAATAATCATTGTGTATATGCTTACAGTTTTCCAATATGATGATTTGCTGAAAAGTTCTGTCCAACTGAGAAGAGATTCCATGTTTGGTTATTTGAACCAAGAATTTCTCAACATTCCTTCATTGTTGTAGTAGTAGTAGTAATTTATAGACAAAAATGGATATCATTGTTGCAAGTATTATAACAGGGTACATATAAGTGTAAGTAAATATGTCAGAAATGCATAATTGTTATATGCAATATTATAAAATCATAAATGATAGAGTAAAATCTCCACTTTCAGATGCTGAAGACGTAACTGAATTGTTAATAAACAGAACAAATGAATATGATTTTGATTTGGTTATGTGTCAGTTGGGGTTAGTGACATGCAGAGGCTTGCTGATACTCAGGGCCAGCTCTTTGATTGTATGCCCCTAAGACTCAAGTAGGGAGGCATATAGGGTCCAGTACTGAGAAATGTGAGAGGACATTTTGATTATGTAAAAACAGATGCAACATGAGATAAACACTTTGTCTAAATAACCAATTTCAAATTTTAAAGCCTAAATTTTTATTTCACTCTTTGATTAGATGACCCCTTGATATGGATGCTTGGGGCAGTTGTACCATCTGCACCCTACTGGTTGGAGCAGAAGAAACTTGTCAACTGTCTTCAGTAGTAGTTCAATTTTTCTGTGTTCAAAGTTTTCCAGTGTTTATATTTGAATAATTGATTTTTTAGACACAAGCACACACACATCCACCCACTGGATATTTTTCATGCTCCATATCCAGGTTTTTTTGTTTTTTTATATGGATACTTTAGATTTTATAAGTATATAATTATCATGTTGTGTATCTTTTTATTTATTTATTTTTTTTTAATGACCTAAGATTTGATATGTTACATAGATTGAAATCTTATGCTTTTTTGTGTCTGGAGATTCAAATACTAGAAAAATCTTAACATTAAATATAAAAATCTTCATGATGTAGCATGAAATGTATTTTTAAACATTTATATTCAAAAAATTGGCATGTGAGTTATAAATAAACATAAACCAGACAAGCATAATTATGTTTATAATGATCAATGTAATTACTTAATCCTGAAGCATTGATCCAAATACTAATAGTTCATAACAGGGTGAGATTTTTAGATGACAATTAAATTGGAGAGGTAACAAGTGTTTTTGGTGTACTTTGCTAATTATTAATCCTTTGTACACAGAACAAACAAAGGCAGGAATTAAACAAAATATTTATTTAATTTTACAGTAATAAAGTCTTAATAGTTTTCAGTCATAAAACCTTAATAGTTTCATATATTCTTTGAATTTTATTTGGTTATTATTTATTAATAATATCTAACAGTCTTGGTGATGAAGACATTTTGGTTTCAACATTGAAATTGAGGCATAACTGGTAAATTTTCATAAAAGAAGTAATTTTTAAAAATTTTAATACCAAAGCAGTGTGTGCTTTTATAAAATGACTGCTTAGCATTAAGCAATGGAAACTCAATATGACAGTAAAACCAGTAAGAAATACAGTAGTCAATTAAATGCAGGCTTCTATTTTATTTTGTTAACTTATTCTCTTTTGATGATTGGCAATTAGTGACAATTTAATTGGTAGTATAAACTCACTTCTTACTTTACTACTGACCAGTTTGATATCTGTTTGCTTTTAATTATTTTTTTGATTGCTTCTGGAAATGTGGAGTTGGTGAGAATCATTAAAATTGATCAGATCATAAATAATTTATAGATGGTTTTCTGTCGAGTAATGATGAACAAACTGATCTCAAAACCAAGTAAGCATTTATGCAGATGGCACTACCATTTAATCCTGTCTCAATAGCATATCCATCAGAGCTGACAAAGTTAACCTAGCTGCTGCTCTTCAAAAGAACCTCTAATAAGTGGTTAACTGGGACAGGAAATGGCTTGTTAATTTTAATGCCTCCAAAACTAAACTGCTCTCATTTAACCACCAAAGAGAAAGCTCCCTGCTCACCATTAGCATGGATGATGCTCGACTCCAGGAGAGTCTCACTGTGCCTTCTTGGCCTCACATTTTCAGCTGACTTGAAGTGGAACAACTACATCGAATCAATAGCTGCATCTACTGCAAGGAAATTTGATTCTCCATGTCATGCCAGAAGGTTTTTCTTGTCAGAATCCATCTTGCACATTTACAAATCTACCATTTGTCCATGCGTTGAATACTGTTGCCATATCTGGTCTGGTGCCCTGCTGTTCATTTTGAGGTTCTTGACAAAACCAAAGAAAGATCTGCAGTGTAATTGATCCTGATTTGGCATTTTGACTTCAGTCACTTTCTCGCAGGTGTGATGTGACATCCCTTTTTCTTTTCTACAAATGTTTTCATGGCAACTTGCAAAAATTTAAATGCAACATCAATTACCATCTTCTGTTGATTTGAACCCCGTTTATCTTTTATCCTTTCGTTAATCTCCCCTATACCCAGTCTTTTCTCTCACTTTTCACGCTCTGTAACCCCCTGTGTGCTAGTGACACTCTCACCCTAGCTTGGGGTGAAATGATTAAAAAACAAAACAAAAGAATATTATGATTAAGCAGTGCATTCAGTCCTAGATGCCTTATACTTGTAGCCTTATGTTGTCTTTGAATACCCCTTAATATTAACAGTCAGCATTTTTGGTAGAAGGTTGACAATAATCCTGATTCAAAATATCTGGTAATGCATTCAGTTTATAAATGCATTTGTGCATATATGCTTGTGGTTATTTAATTGTTTTTATTTTATTTTTTTAAAAGTATTATGATTACTGGTTGGACTTAATTAAAACTTAATCTGATTATCTCCCTTGCATTTATTCAGCTATGTTGTGATGTATTGTTCAGAATAAACAAATATTTTTGCAGTTTTTGTGTCAGTTTTATTTTATTTTTTAATTTTCTTTTATTCTTAATTTCCCATGATAAATTTTAATTTTCAGAAATTTGACAATGAAGAAGATCTTCTACAACGTGCCAGCACTGATGTTACCCAACTGTGTGCAGAAAATGTTATTATGTGGAACCAGTTTTTGGACACCATCACTTTGAATTCATTTGTCCTTTACCATCTTGCAACTGAGCACCATAACCAAAGGGTATGTAACTTTGTTACATCCAACATTATACATTCTTTTTACTCAAAATAACCAACATGGAAGAAACTCAAAGGTCTTCTGATTATCATATTAATAGTATGTTACTTACAGTGTCCTGTTTACAAAGTTTGTCTTTATGAAATAAATTACTTGCTCAGTGATTACAGTGAAAGTTCAGAGATATTGATGCCAATAGCTATTAGGCTGTCATAAGTAATTTCCATTTTTGTTTATCTACCTTAGTCTTTAAAAATTAAAGAACATTTTTCCTGTCAAAGTGTTTTGCAGTGATCAAAAAAGGTAATGGGTTGGTACAAAGTCAAGTGAATATGGCAGGTGGGGTAGAACAGACCAACTGAGTTTCAAACTTTTTTTCTTGTGTTTGTGTTTTCCCTCCCCCTCATATGTGACTTTGTGTTGTCATGGAACATTTTTCTTTTCATCCACTATGTACGCTGCCACTGCTGTGCAAAAACTAATGTATGTTAGTGTACTCAAATTTACTCTTAACTGCTGCGTATGTTTAGTAGTTAGGATGATACATTAATCATTACAACTGGTTTCTGGTCTAATAAAGAATGTTACAAATGTGAAAGAATGTGGGAAATATGTTAAATTTTAAAAAATAGCATTAAAATAAGGAAAAAATATATGTTGACAATATTCTGCTAGCTTGTATGATTAAATGCATTTTCTATTGCCAGTTACAAGGAGGTATAGAAAAATTCTTGGTTGATCAAACTCTTCCTCCCAAAAAATATTTGTTTGGTCATTTGGTAAAAATTTGAAAAGTAGATTGGACTGTCAACTTTAATTAATTAATGTTTGGATTTTCTGGTGACATATCTTGGTAGACTTTGTGTGTTCACTTTATTTTTGTAACATGGAAACTTAAATTATCAATCCTTTATCATGTTTACAAAAGATTTCTAGTCTTTTATGAATTTAAGTGTGAATTTTAAAACAGTGGCCTGGTATAAAACTTACTGTTTTCATTTCTTTTGTGACTTAAAGCATTACTATTTCTATTTTCTACCAATCTTAGCCATAGCATTCTTTAGCAGAAAATACATTTAAAAAGAAGTATTTCTTCAAAGTACTTTTCTGAAAAAAAAAAAAAATGTCTAAACATCAATGTATAACATAAGTTCCTTTCATTAACAAGGTTGATAAAGTATTAATTCCTTTGATATATTTTGCTATGACCAAATACAACTATTTTTAAAAATAAAAGTTGATAATACTATCAAAGTAAAAATCATTTTCTCTTGTCTGCTAAAGATTTAATTTTGCTTGATTCCAGGTGAAGAGATTTGCAGAGGTATTTTTCAATCAGGATCATACCAAAATCAAATCACTTGAAACCTATGAGCCAAGGTAAGATTTCTTGAATTATTCATAATTATCAAATGCTCCATAAATTCATTAACTTTACTGTGGTTATATTTCTTCTAAGCTACCATCTATTCTGAATTATTTATTCCTGCATCATTGCATATTTGTATCTATATCAAAAGATTTATAGTGACATAATTTTGTACATAATTTATTAATTTTTTTATTTATTTAATTTTTTTAAAAATCTGATGATTCTTGCTGAAGATTGACAGTAAATTCTAATTTCTCCAGATCTTTCTGCACTATTAATGCTTATTTTTCTAATTCTGTTTAGATGATCTATAATTTTTTCAATATTTTTACAATGTTCTTGGTGTTCTGATTATGTTTGGTAGAATAATTGTTTAAGCAAATTAAAATCCTGTTTAGATCTATATAATACTAAAACTCTTAAATAAATTTAAATATACATAACACTGCATATATTTATACAATTCACTACACTATATTAGAAAGTTTTTTTATACAAATATCTTGGATATTTGGTAACTATCTGATAGTTGTAGGGGCTATGTGGGTGTGTCATTATAAAGCATAATCTGTTTGGTTAGAAAATTGTCACATGACTTGATGGTAAATAAATAGATGCATGCTGGTTTGAAGCTGTTACATATTTTGAAATAAATATGAGGAAGAAACAAGTATGGATAATAAAAAAATTATTATTTTGAAAAAAAATATATCCAGAAAAAATAAAACTAAGTGCACAAAAAGGAGTCATCTATGCTTTATTTCAATCAATGTGAATCTCCCTAAGCAGACAATTGTTGTTTGTTTTGTTTAGTGTTTTTTCTTTTTGAATGACCTTCACATTTGAAAATTATAATATGGTAAATACTAAAATTGGTATAAATTGTCACTTTATGGCTACTATTGCTTGACTGTAAAGGCCTTTGGTGTGATATCAGTTTGTGATTCTATTCTTAAAAAAGTAAACTTTTTCCTGTAGAACAATGTTTGCATTAAAGGGATGTTTCAAATTAAAGCTAAGGTTATAATGTTGGGACAATGATAGGCCTCCTCCTCCCCCTCCTATGTCATTCTGGCATTGTTAATTTATTATTCATTTTGATAATTTAACATCTATCATTGAATTTATAGCTGAATTTCATTATAAAAAATATATAAATTGTTAAAACTATTAAATTTATTTTAATGATATCATATTAATAATTTAATATGTTGAAGGTTTTGTCATTTATTTCTATTTTGTGTATCAGAAGCTGCATTTTTTTTCACAAATTCTGAAAACCTTTCCATTATTGCATTTGATCTAAGTAATATTGTATAATGTGAGTAGTAATAATTATTAGAATAACTTTTATTGCAAATACAAGGTTCGCCTATTGTCTGGTTCATTCTTCTCCCTGGTCTTTTGAACAGGAGTAGAGGTTTATCCTTTGGTTCCTGTTTAGAATTGGGTTTCTGGTTTCTTTTAAGCTTGGACAATATTTCAGTTGTGAATATTCAAAGAGCAGTTTGAAATATAATTTAATTATTCCTATTTTAACTAACAGCATAATCAAGAGATTTTCTATTCATGTGTTAGCCATCTCAACTTTAACAAATTTTTTTTTTTTTTTTAATTCTCTGCAGTATTCACGGTCATGTTGATTGTGCTGCACTGGTGCGTGCCTCTGCCTACTTCCAGAACCTTCCTCCACTGCCTGTTGAGTGCCTCGAACTGGATGGTGATTTTACTACACTGCCTATCATATTTGAAGATGTCTATTATGATATCAAATATCCTACCTGTAAAAGTAAGTAAACTGAGCAGTATTTGAAATATGTCTAAAAATTCAAAAGGAAAGTTTTAGTAAAGCACAGACTCTAATGTCATCATATTCAAACTTTGGATATTGTACTGAATAAGTTTTTGAAAGTTATCTGCCACAGGATTTGTTTGGATCTGATTGCTGTTAAAGCCATACTTTCTGATAAATACATTCAAGAAGACATGACAAATTAAAATCTAATTGCAATTTATATTAAATGCTAAAAACTTTCCCCACCTATATTATTAACCAAATGCTTGGCTTAGTTACCTATCAAAATCATTAAGACATATATATATATATATATATATATATATATAAAGTAGTGCATAGTGAGTGCTGGTGATAATAAAATAGTGCTTGATGTTTAGTGGGAGATAAAATTTATGCTAATAATAAATGCACATTTTTTTCCTCACCTAAAGCACAACGGTGTTTCATGCATGATGCAATTGTCAGGTGTAGGCAATCTGCACTTGATTGCATCATGTATGAAACTCAGCTGTGTTAACGAGGGTGGGGAGCTTATAGTTATTATTTGTGTGTGTGTATGTATATATATATATATATATATATATATAGTTTGTATAATACACATAATCACTGGTTAGTAAAACTAAAGGAACACTTAAAAGGATGAGTGAAGGAGGATTGAATCACATCCGAACATGTATTCAGAATACAGTAGTTCAGTGCGACAAGTGTGCAACTGAAAAGCACTATAACTTTACGGTTCAGTTTTTGCCACTGTCTGTGAGCAGATGGACAAGCCCATGTTTCAGTAAGTGTAGAGAAGGTTAGTCAGTCTTTCTACACACACATATAGATATACACCCGCACACAGGGTGGCAAATAAAATCACTATACAGTTACTTACTATATTGTATATAGCAACTGTATCATGACTTTATTGCCACCGTGTGTGTGTGTGTATAATATATATATATATATATATATATATATATATATATAATGCGAATGTCACTGTCACACTTTTCAATTTTACTCCTAGAGGCCATAGCCCAACATATCATATCATTTTGGATTCAGGTCGACACTGTGAGCAAATTAAAGACATTTCAGGCTAGATCCAGACTTGCAATTCTGAAATTTTAGATTCTCAAGTTTTCATTATTGAAATTGTTTTCAGATTCTTCCATTTTGGCTTCTTCTGATAAAAACAATTAAAGGGACACAACTCTCTAATTTTCAATAGCTTATGTTCAAATGAAAATAAAAATTACCATTCTCAAGTTACAGTGTTTCAAAATAAAATTGTCCATGTTTTCAACTTTACTCCTATGGCCGTAGCCCAACATAGGATATCATTTTAGAATTTTGAGATTTTTTGAAGTTTATTGTTGTTTATCGCATCTACTCCTCTTTACCTGTTGTGATGAAGGTTCAATCAAGAGCCCTCTGCAAAAGCTAGCTTAAATGGTGCCCAATAAGGCAGGTTTTAAACTAGTGTGTGTGTGTGTATATATATATATATATAGAGAGAGAGAGAGAGGGAGAGAGAGAGAGTTTAAAATTTGGTATATTTATGAAGAAAGATTGCTCCACATCAGAGAACAGTGGACATAATTAACAACACTGCATGCTGAATTATAGTTTGTTTATTTACCAATGATAAGTGAATTTCTTTTAAAATTTCAACCTGAAACATTTTTATTTTTTGTCAGATTTCCCTGATGCTCATGTTCACTATACAAATCCTGCCTTTGAATGTTCTGATGGTGATACGAGTGAATCATCAGATGTCCCAAGAGACCGGTCAAAATCAGATACTTCTACCTACTTCCTGTATGGCGAGGACTCTCCGCAGTTACGAAACAAAGGCAAGAGAAAATTCATCAAGAACATAAAACCTGAGGCTTTTAAGCGTCCGTCATCATATTCGTGCGTCAATGCTGACGCGACACCACCTCTGAATGATGTTGTCCTTGTTGGCTACAGGAAGAAGAATTTGGAAGAGACGTCAGAGAGTCCACTACAGTTAGGTACTTTGAGTCCTGTACAAGCATCCTCTCCAAGTGATTTTTTCTCTGGAAGCCATCTCCCTAACTCAGTTTCTATGACTTCTCTCTTAACACGGTCCTGCTGGAGTAGATCAAGTGTTAACTCACTCCCGGAATTCATCGATGGGTCACATTCAGGTATTCAGTACATACAGTTAACGTGTGTCTTGATCCCTATGTGCCCCCTTGGTTGTTATTCTCATAATTACATTAATGATTATCACCTTTTTATTATCAGCATGTTGTGGCCATATTTATTTAAATTGTCCAAGTGTTTCTTGTCTGTTAATAGCCAAAACATTTTTTTTTATTTATTTACATCATGATATATTAAATCCATCACAGGTATCTAATACAACCTTTATAGTATTGCTAATAGGTATAATTAGATAGTTTTGGGGTCAGGAAATAGTACCTTTTTGCTTTTTAAGTGTGTTCTGTTGTATATATTTTTTATATTATTATTATATATTTTATTCTATCTACAGAGTTTTTATTCGGTACTTTTTTTTTTTATTGCTGTTTATGATGAAATAATTAAACACATAAAAATTTTGTACACACGCACACACGTATGTATGTGTGTGTGTATATATATAATATAATTAGAACAAAAACTTAAAAATCCATATTCAGCGAAATGGAATCAATATATCCAGACAGATATACAAGGATAATAAAAGAAAAAATAAAAAGATGCAAAAATAAATTGACCTAGAAAAGTTTTCTTAAGGGGCTTACATTAAGAAAAAAAAAGAACAAGTTAATGGGTAAGGGAAGGTAAAGAGATAGAAAGGTCAAAATAAAGTTTTCCAAAATGAGGCTTTTAAAGTAATCTTTGTATAGACTGCATCATCATCATATAATACTACTATTAATAATAAAAATTAAAAATCATAAAATATAAGAAAAATATATAATAAAAAACATATACATATAAACCTATATATAACAAAAAAATTTTAAGTAAATAAAAAAATAACAAAAATCTATAGATAACAATAATAAGTAAAAAAATAAATACACAAAATATTAAAAAATTATATATATGGCTGTGATAATAAATAATATATATGATGTAAGCATCATCAAGACAATCACATAAATAATCAAATACATCATCGGACCCATATATGTGTACATAGGGTGTGTGTGTATATATATATATATATATATATATATATATATATATATATATATATATATATACATATATATACACACACAAACACACATATATGGCTGTACCCATATACAATACGAACCAAAATCACAAATGCATCTCCCTCAAAGTCAATGTTTTTAGGGTAATTTGTATTTGTTTTTATGTTGGCATTTGAAAATAACTTCATTCCTTTCATTATTATTATTATTTCCTCTGTAACATACTTTAAGCTCTCATATGAACTAAAAGTCCTCTTTGGAATAATTCCTACCAATTACAATTTGGTATTATATATATATATATATATATATATATATATATATATATATATATATATATATAATTCAAATAAAATCTGTCATTTAGCTGATGTTATATTCAGCACTTCAACTTGAGTTTAACGGATGAACCTTTTTGTAATCATTTGATCCACTCGTCAGGAGGTTTCAGATGTATTCATATAAAGTGACACTTTAAATTGTAGTTGTGAGAAGGTATATTAAAATTCTGTTTGTATTTTAATGTAGACTACATTTAAACCTGGGGTACACAGATGAGTGTATACAAAGTGATGCTGAAAAGTTCTTGTCTTGATCAGTTTTTTTGTTTTTTATATAACAAAGGAGATAAAATACACAAGTATGAATGTAAAAGAAGGAAGACATTAATAGTTAGGCACTGTGTTGGTGAGATATATGTATGTGTGTGTGTGTGTGTGTGTGTGTGTGTGTGTGAAAAAGTTTAGCCACCTGAAGAAAGATATTCTCATGCCCATGTGAAGGTTCCAAGGGGGTGGAGAGAAGAGGATGGAGACAGGAACTATTTTTATAGAGGCTTAACAGTGTCCTCTAATGACTTTTTGGCAAAACTGACAAAGCTATGTTGGGATAACTCACAAGCCCTTTCAAAAAAAAAAAAAAATCTGATTGATCATTTGCTGAGATTTTGGGAAGTGGGTATAGCTAAGAACTTTTCAGCATCATTTTGTATATTCAACATATTGATTTTTATATTTCTCCCACTGAATTTACTGCTATTCCACCAAACCTTGTTTAAGTAATTTTGTGTACTAAGTAAATATTTCTTTAAGGCCAAAAAAAAAAAGTTAATGTTTTACCTAAAATTAAATTTTAGTAAGTTTTTCACTTTATTGCATTCAAGAAAAATACAATAAACAACAAAACAGAAGTACCCTGTTAGTCATTTTTAATGAAATATGTACTTGAGGGATTGCAGGCTAAATACACAATTATTGAATGTTGTATTTTCAAAATCAAGAAAGTCAGTATTCAGAAATTTAATGCAAACATTCCTTTATTTATTTATATATATATATATAAGATTCAAAGGGTTTGCAATGGTTAGCACAAACCATTTACTAAAATTACACAATTTCATAGAACTAGTTTATTTACTTGTTTTTTGGTTTATATATGTCAGCCAAAAAATTAGAAATATATAAAAACAAGTTCCTAGAATCAGTTCTTAAAAAAGAATTCCACCAAATTAAAATTATATTGCCAAATAATCCTGAAAAAAAAATATTCTAATATTTTAGGTTTCCTGCTTTATTTCTAAAGAGTAAGAGATTCTTTAGAAATAAAGCAGTAAAATATTAAAATAAAATATTAGAATAATTTTTTTTTTTTTTTTTTTTTAATTCTCTTAAAAAAACTTTTTTGTTTTCCATCTAATAAATTATGCATACTCTATTTTTCATTGAGAATAAATAGAATTAAATTTTACTAATGAACAGTTGACTCTCTTATTAAAATATAATTTTAGGCAACCGTTCACATAATAAACAGTAACCTGTTTTGTCTTTATAGATAATTTGAAATATTTGAATCCATTGTCAATTATCTGTTGAGGGCATGGAGGCCATGAAGTTATTTCATGAATATAACTAACCAAATTATTATAATTTTATTTTTTCATGAGTTATGTTTTATTTAGTATTGTTTTTTGTATATAACTGTGTATGTGTGGTGAAGTAAGTGACTTTTAGGACCATGATGTCATCCCTTTGATATTGTCTTCCAAAAGCATGATAGTTTGTCCAGTTTGTTTCCTTTTATTTTTGTCTTGTTTTGATTCACTCTTGTCTGCTGTCCTTTTTGTTGATAAAAAAAAATTGTATGCATACAAATACATTTCTTTAGTGTAAGATTCATAGATTGTTTTTGTCAACCTCCTGAAAGCTGGAAAAAAAGGTTTGTTCCATTTATATTTTGTTAATTTTTAAATTGCTTTGTGTCAATATTATTTGTTCTTTGACTTTTGTCATCTTGTGCAGATTTTTGTGCTTTTCAAACTGATATTTTATTTTATGTAAAAAAAAAAAAAAAAAAGCCCAATTTAAAACTGATTTCTTAAATAACTGTCTGTCACTTTTTCTTTGATACTGGGAATTATTAGTTAGTCAACTCTCAAATCAGATAATGAAATTCAAGTGTTTTTATCATGAAACAAAATAGACCATATGGTTTACTCTGTTTATGTATCCAACCAATGATAATTCATTCAGAACAACAGTTTAAGGAAATAATGTACCCTATTTATAAGTTTCCATTATTCTTTTGATTTTTTTTTCTTTTATAATTTTTTTTTGCTTGTTCTTTTTTCGTTTGTTCTTTTTTTTTTCTTTTCAATCCTATTATTTTTTTGTACATTTTTTGTTTTGTACTTGATTTTTATTTTGTTCATTTTATGCTCTTTCTTTTCTTTCTTTTTTATTTTTTTGTTTTGTTTTTGTACTTTGTTTTGTAGTTGTTATTTATGTTTGATTCTGACTGTTTTTAGCAATATATATTATTATTTTCTCAGTAATTTTTAATTCTTCCATGATATTCTGTTTTTTGTTCTTAATGTTTTTTGTGTCTACTTTAAGAATTCTTTTTGTATTGTTTCTTGGTTCTGTGCAAATTCTTTCTTTGGGAAGGCAAAATTCAAATTTTCTTACTGATTTCTTTTCTTCCATAATTTTCTCATTTTTGTTGATGTTTCAACATTGCAGCGCCTTCACCTAGCACTTCAAAAAACTATGTACATAATATTGCATTGAATGTAGAAAGCAAAAGTAAAATGCAAAAATCATTTTTATCTTTCCCTTTTGCATTCTCATTCTGTTGAGTTTTGCAACTTCACCTCATAAGTAATTCATTACTTTTCCCAAATGCACCTGAAAACTGATTTCACTTTCAAATTTGGTACTCATTTTGATTATTACAATTAGAATCAAAAGGTAAATTTTTATATTAATGTTTTCCCCACCCGGTACTAAATACATGATTGAATGCTTGGACAGAAAACTCTATCTGCACTTTGAAAATGGCAAATTGTAAATTTCCACCACTTGATTTTCTGCAAATTAGTCAACTTGGACAACATTAATCGTGAGGCTGGTGGATATAAAGTAGAGAAGTATAAAAAAAAAAAAAAACGTTTCACCTTTTGTTATTATTCATTCCTTCTGTCCCCTAATGTTGCAAATTATTCCTGCATGACATCATTGATAACCTAAAGATAAATTGGAGTAAAAATGGCTTTTGTCACTATTCCAGTGGAGGGCCAATGTTTAACACTAGCTGTTTTATTTAACTTACTGTTTATGCCAAGAGTATATTTATCAAATATCTTGTGGATATTTAAACCATTGTTGAAGTGGAAGAACTTCATTTTGCAAGGTAATAACATATTCATAAAAAAATGAAAGGGTACTAGTTTTATCTATTTTATGCAAATTATTATGGAATAATGGCTTTATTGCAGACAAAAGGCTTGATACTTATAAACACTTATACAGGTCAAAGGTAAGCATTTGTAAAGTGAATATTCAATGTGATGTTTCCTATTTCAGTCACCTTTTTTTGTGAAAAGGTATGTGGTATATACTAATTGAAAAATTCAAAATAACTAACCCTTTTCCAGTTCTGGAGCAAAACTTCTTCCTATTAAAGATAATTTGTTAATA